TAACAGGTAGAAAAATAGTACTAATTGTGCTGGAAATAGTGATCTGTGCTGTTCATCCTATTCCTCGACATTTTCCTATCGATCAATATCCAAGAGATGTGAGAAATAATGCTAATTCGACAAAATTCTATCAGTCTACACCAATACCGATCTCCTTAACATATGTACCTGTTGATGTTGCGCTTGGATTACCGAGTAAGTCTGTAATTTCATTCTGAAGAACTCAATAATCAGTGATACATTTCGATAGTGTTTGCTCGTCTTTATCTATGTTGTCGTTTCATCACCTTTCATTCCCATTTGGTTCGAGATACATCATCACAATCACTTGGTTATCTCAATAAAATATCTATCAATTTCGTATTTGTCATTAAAACTTATTTTGAACAATCACCAATACGTTGTTTGGTCATATTTTGTACTCTAGTCTTTTTGATTGGGAGCTGGTCATTGCGTGCATGTGACTTTAAATCTAATAATGAACACATATCGATATTTGATGCTATGTGGTTCTTTATTGTAACATTTACTACTGTAGGTATGTATCTGATTGAAAGTTTACAGAGAACAAATAAAAAGAACAAGATAGTTCTTATTTTTAGGCTATGGTGATGTAACACCTGCAACCTATTGTGGACGAAGTAAGTCAAATTTCATCTATAAAATATTTTTTCATCGATCAGTTTTCAAATGAATAAAATGAATTCTATTATTTGTGTACTAGCATCGATAATCATTTATCTTTACTTATGAAATTTGATTCTTTCAAAGCAGTTTTTGATGAATCGTTATCGAAACGTCAAAAAAAGAAAAGAATAAGTTTATGAGAAAAGCATTTCGCTTTAGAAATATATTCATTTTTGTTGATAACAATGCTAATTTATGTCAGATTGATTTTGATAATATGAACGTCTCGTCTCTATTTGATTTATTATAATTATTAGGTGTGGCTACCATAGCATGTATAGTTGGTATTTTAGTTTCTGCTCTTCTTATTGCTGTTATCTCACAAAAACTTGTGCTGTCTCGTTGGGAAAGATATGTTCATAATTTTGTCTTGAACATTGAATTAGCCAAAGCACACAGACATCAAGCGGCAAATGTTATCATATATGCATGGAAAATGGGACGCTTTACAAAAATGAATAAATATAGATCTATTCAGTATATTGAAGCACAACAAGCATTCTTCAGATCAATAGATGCCATTAAACGTATCAAACAAAAGCAACGTACATTAGCTGATAATAATGTGGGTCTAGCGGAATTGTTGAGAGCTCAACGTGATACAAGTGCTACAATCGATCAATCAATGCAACAGATGGTTACAATGAGACGAAAAATAGATACTGTTGAGAAAAAACTTGATAATGTAAATCAAACAATACAAATGATACAGCGCACGCTGAGTCACTTATTAGATAGAAGTATACAGTCGGAAAGCGTCTAGAGTTCATCTGTTTTTAAATAAAACATGACTAATTGTACTAGCTGTTTGGAAACAGTTGTTCTTATTAAAATTCATGTTATTGATAGAGATGCATTTGTCTGTGGTATTTTTTGCCAAAAGTATGCTTCACGGAAAAGCGTGTTGTCGAAGAAATAATTTGGAAATGTAACGATTATAATCAGTTTTCCATTAGTAGCTTCAGTGATAATCGACTGTTTATTGATACAATCTATGGTTAAATTTCTAGATCAGTATTTGATTACGTGTTTATTGAACTAGTATTACACTAAATATGACAGCTCACGACTGGATTCGAAAATTTTCACTGCAGATCAAAGATTAAAGCGGAAGATCCTACCTCTAGTCATATTAAACTATGCATAAAGAAATAAGGACCAATCAAACAGCTTTCGAAAAAGTGCGCTTCTTCTTATAAATTTATTAGCCTAGTCAATATTGGTCACGATCAAGACTAACGCAGAGAAATTGTCAAAAATGACAAAAAGGGATGTCAAATAAAACCTCGATCAAAGTCTATTGGGAACTTACATTGATAGAAAATGTGTAGAATATTAGAAGAGAGAATGCCACAGGAACTATCGTAACAGTGAAGTAATTTGTAGGAAAAATCCAATATGGTATCTTTAGGTCTGTGTTGCAATAATAAACTGGAGTTCGACGCACCATTCACAGTCGCCTTCTACAAACAGAAAATTATTAGTTTAACCGTCGATCACCATTTACATAACTTTTCACCGCATTATGCATATTCTAACCGACGCAACAAAACAAATCAGTTTTTAACAAAAAAATTGTGTTTCATACAGAACTCCATCATGACTGCAGTTATTTAGGTACAAAAATTTTAGCGATTACCGACTAGAATATTATATGCAACCTTGCCAAAATAAAAGAATACAGAGAATACATAGGATGCATTCTAGGGTTTGTAGGATGTGTTGTCTTTGGACAGTGTTAGCGTTCACGCTCACGAAGAGCGACGAACACAGTTAACGTGCGTATGTGGTTTATTCTCTCTCCGTTTATTCTTTAAGAAAACAAACGTTTATATACGAACATGAAAAACAAGGACAAAAGTAGAAAAGAATAGAAAGGTTAATCAAGGACAAAGAAGAGCAATAGAAACGAAATAACAGAAACGAAAATATCAAAGAAAACAGAATAGATAGAATCGAGGTATATGTAGTTACAATACACTGTAACAGACAGTTTGCTGCATAGTAGAAGATAATTATACCTGACTGTTAGACAAGTGGTATATATGCTTATATATCAAAAACTGTTGAGATTCTGTGAGAATCTTTAGAAACGTCTTTAAATGATCAACCTTATCGGGATCACTTCGATCCAAACAATAGATGGCAGATCTTGCGGCATCTGAAGTCCATGATTCCCATTGATTTTTCGAATTTTTAAAAATTCCTTTGTATTCCTTGGCATTGCTCGAAATTCGCAGCAAATTTCTAAGAAAATGTCTAGAGACACCATCTGCGTCAAAACATTTTTTCTTGTTGGTATCTCTTTTCATATCTTTTCACTTGTCATCAGCTCTCAATATTTGTATGCATCGATGGTTCGTTAATTTTCTTTTGTTGTGTTGTGATTCATGAGATTGCGTTATCTCTATATTTGAGTTTTGATTGAGCCAGTGTTCCCCTTTATCTATGACATTTTTATGTGTGAATGTAACATACAAGAAAATGACATCAAGCTTACAGCACTATATTTATTCTGCGTCAATTGCACAAGAAGAAAACAATTTCCACCTACTCTTTTTTCGTTTCTCTGTTCCTTATTTGATAATATTAGTTTACCAAATGTCATTAAAAATTGTTCATTGAAATAAGTCTCCATGGAAATTATTATCTTAATGGTCAATACTGTTTTTAAAAATGAATGATTGTATTTTAGTTTCTGTACTTTGTGAATCAGACAGTGCACAAGTTATTTTTGCTTGACAAATCTGAAATTGTCTCTGATATATGTGTACTAAAGCTATTGTCTAGGCAGACACACTGAGTAAATTGAAACTTAGGCACATCGCATCCAGCAGATAACACATTGGGTTAAACTGTTCAAACATCCTGGCCAAGTACTGCCAACCTAGCACACGTGGAAGACGCTAGTTTTCGTCAAGCAATATTAGTTTTCCTCATCAAGTCACAACAATCTAATTTTCATCACAAAATTTTCTTTGCTTTTGGGACAAGTAATAAATAATACTGAGATATGTCTTTATGAAGCGAATCGGCTACAAATATTGACAAAGGTTGAAAACAAGGTCATAGTTCTTAAAGTTGAGAGTGTAACTGAGTCTGAATCATGCTGAATCGAAATAGGAAATCTTAAATTAGTTTAGTAGAGCTATTGTAGATACTGTTCAGATTTTTGATAGGTGAAGAAGAACTTGAGAGAAACAAAAGAAGAAGAATATTTCGCTTATGGCAGCGGCTAAGAGTATGAAAAACGCAACAAAGATTCAGTGCGAAGTAATTATATCAGTTTTTGTTAAATTTTCACGTTTTTTTCATATTGATTTTTGTTAAATTTGTTTTCTTTTACTTAAAGTCAGAGATAGCCTTGAAAAACTTGATGGTAATGAAGATAATTGACCGTGCTGATTATGAATACACCTTTTTCACTCAGTGAGAACTCATGCTTGAAATCTGTCTGGAATAATATGTTTCCATCAGTTATATCTGTTGTGACTTGCTAGTGTTTATTATTCATTTTTCTTTTGCGCACTTTCAAGAGAAGTATCAAGTGAACTTGTCAGGTTGATGATGAATATGTCACGCTATAAGTATACACGGCTGTAATGTCGTGAAAGTGTGATAGAAGCTTTGGCTTTACGGTTGAAAATGAGTGTATTCTGTTTTTAACATTGAAATATTTGCGGTTTTTTTTGTCTGAAAGCATTTCTTATTCACCATCACCGTTACATCCTCATTTACATCGTCCCATCAATCACTATCCTCATTCTCATGCCATACCAATACGCTCATCTAGCATACCCTCCTGGATATCCACTTACAACTTTGCCGGCATTGAATTCGAATGTGTATGAACGATAGTCAAGATATTGAATCAATAATAACGGTGACGATAAGCACGAATCTGAAATGTCTAGTATTTTTGATCGACAATGTATCCGATATTCGAGGCATTTGATACATACTTATACTTATTATGGGAAGTATAAAAGAAAAAGAACGATTATCTTCATAATTGTGGTAGCATTCAACTTTATATTGAGAAACGATTGAGACTATCTCGTAGTAAAATACTTTTGTTAGAATGCTATGACAAAATATTCTCTTGACTCATAGTTGATCCATGAAAGAAATACAGAACAGCATTGATTCGTAACAAGGTATGCTGCAAACTCTAGTTAAAAAACATCTTTTCTTCTAGACTTTCTGAACTATAATATGATTTTTCGATATGATAAGGTCAGTTATGGTGAATAAGTAGATTGGAAAACTAGATCAAGGTTAGTCTTGTAGATTAAATGAGTTCATTCACTGACTTAGACAAATTTTTTCGCTTTATTGACGACAAACAGACCACTTAACATCGAAGGTATGATTCCACGAAATACGCCTGTCGCATCTCCTGCATACCAAATATTTTCTCCAGGTACTTTCAAATGCTGATCCAGTAATGGATAGCTTCCTACGGCTTCTACTGTTGGCCCTTTGAGTCTAAACATTTGTCGATCCAAATTTGTATCTTTATCTAAGCTTGCGAGAAACGATTCAATGCCTGTAACAAGATGTGTGCCGATTTCACCATATATGTCGCGCAATTTGTCCATTTCAGCGAGTGACACATCAAATGGATTTGTATGCTTAACTTGTTCTAATAACATCTGAGTATCGCTACTCTTGAAACAAACATTGAAGCCGAAATTGCTTTCCGATGTTGGCATACATTCAGAAGAACCATAATAAGCAACTATTCCGTCTTGTTCGGCCAATGTACATTCTCCATTACGACACCAAAAAAATGTTCGATACTCCAGATTTGCATCGGTTGTTGGCATAACCTTAGAATTGGCCTGTGTTGAAGGAGAAAATAAACTGTTATTTGCGGGACCACAAATGCGTGCACCAACTTCCACCTGTTTGAACATATGTTTCACCATAGGAAACGATTGAGAAACTATTGGAAAGAATCGACCACCACTGAGAATGAGATTTTTACTGCGAAATTCAATGTCATGACCATTTTTCTTACAATGTAAAACGTAAGTATTGTCTGCTGTCGATTCAACTCGACACAGTTTAGTGTTCAGAGAGAGCTGATTAGGTTTAATATCTTGCAGAATTGAAGCAATTACAGCCATGCGTTGTTCAAGTGTTAAATGAAAAGCAGAAACTTGCTTTTGTTTTCGCTTTTCAGCATTAATGCTATTTTGTTCATCGCTGTTTAGAGTGGTATTGAACCAGGATGCCAGTGATGTCACAATATTTAATGCCATATCAGCGTGGCAGCCCAAAATACCGTTGACTGTTGTGACCTCGCCGGCAGCTTTGATACTGAGATCGGAAGGGAAAATTGGAATGGTGAGAATACCTTGAAACATCTGTGCTAATTGACTGTAGCTCTTTCTCAAGCATTCGTGATCAAGCAGCCAAAGTCTATTGCCGGCGGGGTAGAATACGAAGTGACCGTCGGAGAAGAGCCCAGCTCCACCGATACCTCCAATATGGGTTCTATCATTGGATTGCGCACGTTGTGATAGGCCATTACCACTATCGATCAATAAGTAGTTACTTTCATGATGTATACGTAATGCATAGCTGGCTGACAAACCAGCTGGACCAGCTCCAATAATAATATAGTTAAAAACCGTCATTGTGCAATGAGTTTTCACCTATGAAGACACTAAATAAATAATTTATTAAACCAACATACGTGCAATAGCTGGCTACAAAGGATCTACAAATGTTTAAAATGCTATTTCCGATACATAACGACGATTCTAAGCATTTATGACATTAGAAGAATCTACGGAAGAGATCTTTGTTTTTGGCTATGCAAGAGTAGTATCCATGTAAAAAATTATAGAGATAAGATCAGATCAGATTAAAATCAATTGAAAAAAATGATTAAAACCGTATATCTTTTAATCGATTTTTAATCAAAAATAACCAAAACTATCAAAGTTTTATTGGCTACTTCAATTAATTCCGACTATAACCGATTAAAGTTTGATGGCAAAAATTGATCATAATTAATACAAAGCGATGAAAACCAGCTGCAGATACATTCATGCATAACGAATAGAAATCAATTAAAATCAATACTTTTTATAAAATTTCTAATCAATTATAGTCAAATTTAATCGAAATAATAAATGAAATTTTGGTTTTTTTTTGATTAGTTTTGATTAAAAGCAGTATGATTTTAATCGATATCGCACTAGTAATTGAGAAATAAGACCAACAATGAAGAACAGTAGGTCCTTTCAAAGGAATGAAATCGAATTAGCCTTCATTTAGTCTACTGCTCTACATAGAATATGTGATGCATGAATATACTTTCTTGTGCCTATTCATCTAACATATCAAATACGCCCTTCGGCAAAAGTTTGAGAGGAAAATGAATCAATGACACAACATACGTGAAAAGATGAATAATTTAGCAGTCACGCACTCTGTTTTCACAAGGTCATATGCCTCATTCTGACAAAACAAGCAATGTTGTCCTATGAAAGAAAAAAATGTGGTACTATTTCACATATAAGAAGCGGAAAAGCAAAGAGTGAATAAGTAACAAATTAGAAAATAAGAAACATCCTAAAACATGATCGCTCCAATAATATTGAACATCATTCCTTATAACTTTTCTGATAAAAACACTTATGGTTTCTTAACCTATTTCAGAGCATTATTTCGTACCTTGATAATGCGATGCATTAGTGATAAACAAGAATAGCCTCTCACATATACGAAGAGAGCAATGACGAATCTATTTTTCAACTTTGGTAAGTATTAAGTGCTGATCGAACTGGCTTGATGCAACTTGTTAGCGCCAACCTGTAAAAATATCTGCCATATGAAAAAATGAAAGAAAGATCTTCTAAACATTTTTATGCTGAACAGGTTTACGAAATTATCTAGGATGCTGTTTAAAAACGTTTTCAAGTTCAAAATAAATACCTGAAGTTTAAAAGCCTTTAAATCGTTTCAGATAGAAACGTTTCCGAGAAACCTCGAGAAGTTTCTGAAAAAAGTGACTTTTTTTTCGAAGTTGGAAATCTTTCAAGGTTTTCTTGAAGAGTTTCTAAAATTCTTTTTAGAAATCTTTCTTCGCATAAATATGTTCGAAAATCCTTTTTTTCTGGGCTTGCTACAATAAGACTATTTTTAAGAGTGTTACCAAATTCTAAGAGACAAACAAACTCAATTGTCATGATGCAGGGCTGATGTAATTGTTTTTACACTATGAACTGACATTTTAAGGTCTGTCATAGTGAACTTCGACAACACTACTCATGGGTTTTTCTTTCCTGTTTGTTCTTTTTTCTTCTCTCACTGATTTTATACCCGCACAAGAGATGGATTGGACTTATATGGTATCATTTTTTTTTATAAGAAGCGAGGAATTACTTCAAAGAATGCCTCGATCAAGTTTCATACTAGTGAGCATAATTCAAGTATTGAAGAAAAGCAATCAATATACAGAGATTTGTTTGTTAATAAAATACTTGTCTGTCTAAGCACAGAGATCTCAAACTTGACGATTGGATCATGCATATTGAAAATTGACGATGATCGTGCGTAGCTCTCATTTGCAAATATAATTTGCGATTCGATAAATTTCATTCGCAAACTAAAATGAACTAAACTTTTGAGAAAAGTGAAAATAACTCTCATAAACTATTTCTAAATTTCACTTTTCATGATTATTCAATAAGGATATTTCAAAACAATTCGTCGTGCTCTTCGATTAAACGGTACGTGCCATTTTTAAACGGTTTTGAAATTCATTCATTGCAATTACAAATGAGCTCTTAAATAAAAATAATTAATAAGTGTCATTATTACTGCTGTAATCGGACGAGGGATAGCAGAAGCTCAGCCCCTACCCTTTCCCGGAAAGGCTTTGAGTTCCGTCTACAAACTCATTGAGAGGGCTGAGTTGACACCTACAATTTTTTTTCTGGTTACTTCGCTACTCAGTGTATAATCTACAGTGCACGTCAAAAGTTTTTCCCTCCTTTGCATTTTTTAGTTTTTATCACTACACCTTTTTAATTTATTAACTTCCTATATATAGAAAGAAAGCCCAGAACGCGCTGCATCTAATGGAATATTTAGATTGAACAATAAAGACAGTTTGAAGTATAAAAAGTGTATTAGAAAATGACGTGACATTTTTTTTACTGTACAAATTGATCAAAATCTTAAAATGTATGAAGGGTAACTAGTTTTTAGGATAACTTTGGAATGAAACGAGGTAGAGATCTGCGGTTTTCACCGTTAGAAAGAGGACATAAAGATGCATCGAATTCTATACTTCGCATATTTCTGGCAAGTTTTGTTAGGATCTTTACTGAAATTTTCTTCAAAAATTGACTTTCTCGTATTTTTTGAAAAAAACTTCACTTTATCCTCTGTAGAAGTCTCGATTTTTGAAGAAAAGTTCGCTAACGCCCCTAACAAAACTTGCCAGAGATATGCGAAGTAAAGAATTCGATGCATCTTTATGTCCTCTTTCTAACGGTGAAAACCACAGATCTCTATCTTGTTTCAATCAAAAGTTATCCTAAAAACCAGTTACTCTTCATACATTTTAAGATTTTGAACAATTTTTGCAGTAAAAAAAAATGTAACGTCTTTTTCTAATACACCTTTTATACTACAAACTGCATTTGTTGTTCGATGTAAATATACCATAACATGCAGCGCGTTCTGGGCTTTCTTTCTATATATAGGAAGTTAATAAATTATAAAGGTGTAGTGATAAAAGCTAAAAAATATAAAAGGGGGGAAAACCTTTGACGTGCACTGTACTATATTCAAAGAGTGAACCACTTCACATGAAAGAAAACTTTCAAGTAAATGTGGAAAGAAGGATATCGTTAAGTGATGACCTCAGCCTTCTCTTGAAATTGAGTTTCTTAACAGTATGACTGTAAGGTATGCGTAACAGTATCGGTGTTGGTATGGGAAATTCTCGTGCCATAGCCTCTTCACTTCTATACAGCCTTATTCTCAACAAGAACTGATGTTTCCTATAAATTGTAGCAATTATTCATAGACGAAAAATTCGTCTCACGATAAAAAAACAAATGTTATTCAAATGCTGCAACTATTTGGTTATTTTTTTTCTCACGTACCGGTTTCATTCGTTTCTTATAAACTCGATTACTCAATAATATGCAAAACCAATCTGTTATGAGAAAAAACTAAATTGATACTACTTGCATAAATATTTCGAGTTGTATATTTTGAAAATCTAATTTGAAAAAAGAAAGCTCATTAATCAAATGTGATCATGGTCGTCATGTGTCGAGCTTTTGATAGAAAGAATTCTGAAACTCCAGTAACGACGTGAAATCAGATACTTCTCGTTGAAAATCACTAGATAAATGCCGTTCAATTTGAAACTCTTCTTGTTTGAGATGGTTGATGTTGTTCGATAAATTATTCACTCAAACGATACAAAAAGTGTCATGACGAGAAACACACATGTGTCAACGAATGAAAGCGAAAAGAGAACATATGGACCATTCGAGCACATCGTTTTTGTATTATTCTGTAGAAGTTGTTAAGGAAGAGAATGAGAGAACGAGAAAAATAACACCTTTCGTATTTTTAATGATTGCCGAAAAGAAAATATAATAAGTAGCATTCGAACGGTGAAGAACGATACGAAACAGAATTGAAAATTTATGTGAAATGTTGTTAAGAAAAGAAAGAAAAAGAAAAAGAACTGAGGATAATCGTGTATATGAGAGTGAGAGGAATGTGGAATGTAAGGATGAACATAAATAAAGATGAGATTCTCATTCATTCTGACTTTTATCCAAACACATTCTTATCCACAAGCCATAAAATGATTTGATAAAACTCATAAAAGCGGTCTGTAAAGGTGGTAATTTGATTTTTTTGTGCAGATATGTACCATCATATTTTGGGTTAGTAAAAGAAAATGCATGTGTTCTGTCCGAAGACTAGAGCCTCATCTAAAGTTTCAATCACAAGAGCCACAGTATTTAGATCATAGTACATTTAGTGATCATCCTACTGAATATTTTGATGCTGGGCGACACTAGTAGAGATATTGCATTGCCAAAAATTTATAATTCGTTTTCCGGGCAGAACTTCTCCATTGAGGATCACATATATCCAACAGGGTACAGAATGTATTGGCATGGTCTATAACAAATCATTCGTATGATGTATACAATCAGGCTATTGACTAGTTTTAATATCTCCTGGTAGACGAATGAACAGATCTTAACAATCGCCCGGTACAAAGACAACAGTAGTTATCTATACATGAATACATCAATCATGCAAAAAAAGAGTGAACCGAATATAGTGAATATATCATAGCATGAAAAACAAGTTG